AAGCTTCCAGCAAAAGCATATTCATTCCGGCAACCGTTGCTACATCAGAAAGACCACAGACAAGATTGAGGGAGCATGACATGTCGACTACTTTTGCTGTGTTTGAGGTCTAAGATGCGTTCCGATAGAAAATCCAGTAAACATCGTACTCAAAATATACTTTTGTGCTGTATTTATGTGTGAAAATTACAAAAAGTGATTGTTATAATGATTGCCATGTTATTAGTTAATACATTGTATCGTTTGTTCCTGTTTTGTAAAAAAAAAAATTTGAAAAAAATAGTCCTAGATTACTGACGGTACTGATAAGTACCAATATCTGTTTGGGCCATTAAAATTTTTTTTTAAACGAAATTTCCTTCGACATATGCTTTGAATGTGCCAAAAGCAATATATCAACACATTGTTTAAGTAAAAATCTCTTTCAGAACATAATTCTGTAAATAAAGGGTTAAAATGCTGCCTCGTAAGAGATGCTTGAAAGAAACGCTGATCACATTCTCACTGCTTACAGAGCTAAAGACTGTAGGCCTACTGTTTTTTTTTTCGTTATACGAATATACCGACTCAGGAGTATATCAAATTAGCCAGACTGGCCTCGACGTATCAAACTCGACTAACTGGCTTTGTCTGGGCTAAAACAGTCCACGGAGATATCTGTTTGAACAATACATATTAGTCGCTAACATCGTGGGTTTTCTTCACAAGGCCTATCTTCCCTCCCACTTGCTGAGAGAGCCCGTGTACAACCCTTTACCTTTTTGTCTATCTGAATTTCTCCTTATTGTTTGTAATAAATGTTCTAATCTACCCAATATGTCTTAATAAATAACAATTAAAAGTAATTTTTACATGTAGTTTTCTTTTCGGCGTTAATGGATTAAATGTACGTGTTGACGAACTGCTCAACAGCGAGGGAACATTTTACGAGGTCTATAACTCACCGTTTTCTTTAACAGATAAACACAGATATTGCATTTTACTAAGCATGAATTTGATATATATATATATATATATATATATATATATATATATATATATATATATATATATATATAAATCAACCTGAGTTATCAGTCCAACTATTGTACCGCTGGCTTTGTTTCTATTAGTTAGCGATTATCAATAGGTAATCAGTCTTAATATTTAGCGACCAACACAACATGGATTCTTTGAATTCGAGATTTTAAAAAATGTTAAATCAAAAGATAATAAGTAACGAAGAATGTAATTTGAACAAACTGTAGCCTATATATTATCCCAAATCGCCAACAAAATATCATCGAAATAAGCCTAACGAGACATATTTTTCATGCAGCACACCTTAAATTTCGAACAGAGCACAACTAGCAGTAGACGAGTCTGAAGATACCCAAGCTTGATGGCTTTTTAAATAACATTGAGATATTTGGGGTTATCGAAAAGAGTGTCAGAGGTACTTTGCTAAATGTCACGACATAAATAAAAAATATTATGAACATTTTGAAAATTACATAACTGCCGATAAATAAATTTTTCTTTCAAGATTTCAATTGTTTAAAATTGAAACATAATTGGTCGTTTTATAATTACAGAAAAGAAGGAAATAGAAAAGATTAGTACAATACTTGAAAGCAGAGGCGTATCCAGGTTTTCGTTGTAGGGGGAGCGAAAAGAGCAAAAAAAAGGCGCCGAATTTTGAACACGTTCTATATACGTGTATTATATATATATATATATATATATATATATATATATATATATATATATATATATGATATATATATATATATATATATATATATATATATATATATATATATATATATATATATATATATATATATATATATATATATATATATATAATTACTAGCTTTATGTCATTACTTCGCTATGATGTAAAATAAATTGAAAGTAGCACTCTGAAGAAATAAGAAAAAACATACAATGTAGGCCGACAAAACAAAAATTGTATCAATCTAAACAAAACAAAAATATACACACACAACAACCAAAAACAATGAACGTAACACAATCTGTTTTGTAATTCTTGTAAAAAAAAATTCTTACATAATAATTCCTGGGAAATTATTTAAGACAAGTGAAATATTGGAAATAATCACTCTCTTACTATAAATATGTATATATCTACACATTTAATTATAAACGTCAAAACAAATAAATAATTACTTTAGAATATAATGAAATTCTTTAACACTATTGGTGTTTACAAAATGTTTTTGTCTATAATCAGAATTTAATATATCGTCATTATAAATGCTAAAGCATTACAGCATAAAGAAAGTTTTTAAAAATCAGAGTTGGTTTAAAACCACGCTTTTCGATAAAATAGAAAAACATTCGGAATAACAGCCTACATTTAACTAAATATCGATGTTTTTGTACAGATCAAATATTTTTAATTAACTACTGCTTCTTTGAGTTCTTTAAAGGTAATTTTTAACATAGTGATAGATATGGGTTAGATCACTGTATTGATCACACACCTTTTGACTGGTAATTGCAAAAACAATATTCACAGAGTTTTACGTTTAAAAAGCTAATTTTCTGGCGACATGGTACTTTGGTACATCATTACGCGTTTTCTACATGTACTTAACAGATCAGTCCGGGGTGGGTTGGGGGGGGGGGGGGGTCGGTTCAACTTCATTCACCACTGTCCGGTCACTTTAGGTCAATTATCCAACCCAGTGTATACCTAGGTGTGACATTAACATCGCTCTACACAATTGTGGTGGTGTTTGTGTGTGTGTGTGGGGGGGGGAGATAACCAACTCAGAGTGAATATAGCGTCAGTTTTTAGATGACTGTTCTAAACATACATATATATTACACAAATATATATTACACAGATATATATTACAGAAATAGATTTAAATAAGTAGCAGTGGTATTATGACAATATTTTATTTACAGAGGGGTCCATGGGGGAGGGGGTTGTAACTGTTTCATATAATTTGTAATCGTAATCACTATCGCCCAAACTGTAAGAATACTACTACTTCATCGTGATGACGTTGTTGACCTTGTCAAAATTTCCCCACCACTACGCAGTTTGCTCATAAGTAAATTTAAATAGAGGTGCCACATCAGTTGTATTTGTTTCTGTATTGTATTTTTTTAATTAATCACACGATTCAAACTGTATATATAAAGTAATTGTGTGCAGTTTTATATATAACATTTTCTAATTCAATTATTCGTACGCAAAAACATTATACAGTTGCCTTAAACTTAACACCCCTCTTGCCAAGTGGTACTACCCGTAGAGGTTTTTTAAACATTGCAATGCATCGTAATGGTTATTTTTAGAATGGCAAAATGATGCAGCTGTTAATTCGTGTTGTAAACGTAGACACTACTAGACTAGTACAATAATGCTTAATTGTTGCATGAAAAAAAATCTTGTGATTTACATAGATGTGCCGACCAAAAATATTTTTTTAACAAATTTCATTGTTTAAAACTTTGAATTAAAAAAGTTTCCAAAAAGGCGCCACTTTGCTGAAAATGGCCAGAGGGGGAGCGGCCGCTCCCCCTGCTCCCCCCCTGCGTACGCTACTGCTTGAAAGTATTATCGAAGTATGAATGCAGTAATAGGCGTGTCTTGTAAATCTTATCCTAGTAGTATATTTGGTGTCCGTGTGATACTTTGTCTGAGTTCATTTTCAATATATCGTGTCCATGAGAGCTGAGAGCATTTGTCCACGAAATCATTTGTCCTGAGATATTTTGTCATTACTTAATTTGTCTGTGAGTTATTTTACATGTGAAGTTTTTGTATGAGATAAATTGTCCTGAAATCATTTGTCATAACTCATTCTATCTACTTTAATTAGATTAATAATTATATTTCTCTTGTAAAGCTCTAACTTTGATTTATGTATTGGCTACGCAATAAGACCATCTGTGACCATCTGTTTATTAAATAAGCTTTTGAGTTCGAAAAGCAGAAAACTCGTAATGACGTATTTTCTATTTGATTCTATATTTGGTAAAATTGATTAAATCTGTGTTGATGTTGTATGAATCCTGATTATCTTTTTATTGCATTGATTAAATCGCACTACGTATGGTTGTGCATTCTTCATTCCTTCTTGAAATAGTTAACCACTCTTGAGGTAATATTTGTAAAATGTTTGCTAAATAAAGCATGTTTTAGTTTGATTCAATTTGTTTAAACTGATAGTAAATTCAATTGATATAAGATCAAATTAATTGAGATTTTATTTTATAAATATTCTATGACTTTGGGGACGGAGTGGTCTAGCGGTAGAGAGTTCGAATCCGGGTTCAATTCAGTAGACCGTCCCTAAATCCACCCCTCTGAAGAGTACCTAACTCACGTTAGGGAAAGTAAAGGCGGCTGGGCACAGTACTGACCTCACTATCTCTTCATATGACGCGGTCACAGAAACAAGTGAACTCTACTTCACTTGCCACATAGACATTCAGGGTTGAAAAGGGAACTTTACTATGACTTTAGAGGATTTAGAGGTGTGTATGATGTAAGCTTGGTCAAGATTAGTATTATGACCAGGGATAATGATGGGGATGAAGATGGGAAAAGGGATAGGGATTATGTATTAGAGATAATAATAGGAGCACGGACAAGGATAGGGACAGGGATATATAATAAGCGATAGGGATGCGATGAGGCTAAGGCTATAAGACTTGATGAGGATGTGAGTGCTATTTAGGGTTCGATAATACAGCCATTTTTTTTTCGAAATCAACATAGAATTAATTTTAAAAAAACACGACAGATTTAATAGATGTTCTCGGTTTATTATTTATTTACAAGAAACGATTTATTACATGACGTAAATGCAGGATTTTAATATCTGCATGGGGTTTTAATGTGACAGGTTTTCTGATTAATTTCTCACCTGTGTAGCTCTCAGTCCTAACGGATGATCACAGAGCTTAAACGACTGTAGTGTTCATTCAAGACCGGATCTTGTGTGATTTTGTGTTAAAGAGATCTGGGACACTCTGTGGAATGTAGTTTAACACACTCACGTGGGCACTATGTCTTCTAGTGATTACTCAAAGTGGTGAATACTGAATTTTATTGGTTGCAATTATAAAGTTATTTCTTTATTATTACTTTTTATATTATTACTTTTGGTTCCTTCAAGAACATGCTACCTTTATAAAATCTCTTTACTCTCAGAACAGTCTCATACCTCACTTCACAGCTTTATCCAGCTTTCTCCTATCCTTTAAATTTCCTCCAGCACTTTGCATCTCTATTTTAGCTACTGTTGTCCTTTGCGTTAATTGACCGGGGGGTTCCATTCCAAGACCTGTTAGGCCTATTGTATTCCTTGAGTTGTATTTCTATTATTTTATGTTCACGTCTTACAAAATTTGAATGTTCTATTTTGACTGGTTACTGTAATTATAATTAATTTGTAAGGCTTTGATTTATTTATTTAGGTTTGGATTATATTATATTTTGTGTTCTTTGCTATGTTCCATGTCTTAAAAAAAATAAATAAAACATTATATATATATATATATATATATATATATATATATATATATATATATATATATATATATATATATATATATATATATGTATAAATTGTATATATTCCGTGGAGGAAAGGAGTTAGAGAGGAAGCAGAACATTACGTCCTACAAGAACTCACATCTCATCCCTTCTCCCCCAACATCATTCTAGATCAATTGCTTCAATTAATATACACAATATTAATTTCAAATTATTTTCACTACCTCCACGCTCCCCCTTTTTTCCCCATTGTAAACTACTTATCCGCATAAAAAGTGCAAAACGACAATTGGTTACCTACATATTTGTCTTATAAACTTGTCATATTCCTTAAGGGATAACGTTTGCGATAGAAATAAGGATAGGGATAAGGTTAATTATGATTATAATTTAAGGCAGGTTAACGACCCATGATATTTGACATGTGAGCGGTAATTATATTATGATGTAATATGGACTGAACAATATTCTAGACTCACATAATTTAGTTTTTAGAAATATAGTTAAAATTAACCCTAACCATATTTAAAGCTAATTTTTTGCACTGTCAATTAAATAATTAAACTGTATAATTAAACCTGACTCGTAACAATCGAATTTAATAACGTCCATCTTTGTTAAGATAATTTTATATTTATTCAAAAGATATCAAATGTGTGAGAATTTGTTACTTTACGATATGTTTTTATGATGTTTTTATGTATGATGCGAATTTAAACACTCGCTCAAAAGTCTATTAATTTACTTTTTGAAAATGTCTATATAATATGTAGAATTTCTTTTTGTCTGTATTCATATATTTAAAAAAAATTCTAAACCACTATGAACATTGCTACCAGATCCAAGTATTTCACATACAAACCAAACCATATACAAACAAATTTCATCCATCTTCATGATTTTCTCTTTAAAGAGACAAAGAAATAGGCTTTAATCAGTAATAATAATTTTGTAAAAGAAGAATATATATTTTACTTATGAGAATAATTAACTGTAGAGCAAAGATTTCGAATTGTTTGAATATACAATATTTCAGACGATAAACAACCAAGTCTAAGTTGATTTAGACATAAATAAATGCGCAAAATTCAAACGTCATTCTAAAAGCTTAAAATTTTATTATTATTTACGTTCACGGTTTAACACCTTATTTAAGAATAACTGTAGAATATTCGGTAATCTTTGAAACTAAATGAGTTTACCATAAAAATCTAATTAATGAAAATAAAAACGATCTTATTTTCTAATTTGTTTGTAAAACAAAAAAAGGACTCTACTGTATATGCTTATGACGAGGTCTAAGAAACAGTTTAAATTTAATTCCAATTCTCAAATGACCATTACAATACAGTAAGTGTCTTTTTCGAATATATTTCTTTTGCTAAGAAAATTAAAGACGTTTTTAGCAACATTGGAAAAAAATACTTCGGTACTTTTATCACTACAACATATATTGTTTTACATCAACCCATATAACCACGGTATAATAGTGTTAGAAAAATATATTAAACCATACGAATGACAGAGTGAGAAGCCTTGTATAAAAAAAAAACTTGCAGAAATGAATATAATATACTTGATTTTATTTCATGTAATTCAGTAATGTTGTAATGAACAACCAATCTATTCCAGAGAAATATACATTTATGTATACCTTTTCGGAAGCATTGTCTAGTCTCTTTATGACAAGGTCTAATGCAACCGCTGTAGCATTTTTTCCTACAATCCAAACCCCAAAATCCGGACCGTACCAGGTGACACCATTTAGGGTTGTGACACAAAGGCAAAAAATAGCAAATTATATAAAGAAAAATGATAATTCCACTTAATTCAGTGATTAATTAGAGTATTAAATAGTCTTTTCAGAGGTGCAAATCGAAAGTTTGCGGGGGGGGGGGTGTGCAAATCGAAAATTGAAAGTTTGTCCCCGGAAAGGGTCGTTACGCCTCTCTGGGTGACACCATTAAGTGCCGCACCGGGTGACACCCGACCTCCCTACGCCACTGGTAGGCATCAATATAGGTTTTGGCACACTAATTAACACTATAAAAATATTACACAAAGGTGATCAAATCGAGTGGTCACTGCATGTTCGTCCATCACAATGCGAAATAAAATGGTGAACATTTTATTCAAATAAAGTTTGCTTGTGTACCTTTTTACTTTCTCGTATATACGAAGTATAGAGAAAGTATTGTAATCGTGCAAAAAAAAATCGAGATTGTTACAAAGCTCGACGTTTTACACCTCACTGATACGGAAAAACATAATTTTGCAATCTTGTCCGTATGTATGTGTGTCTGTGTGTGTGTGTCTGTGTGTGTGTCTGTGTGTAAACACGATTACTTGAGTACCGTTACAGCTAGGTTGATGTATTTCATCAAAATCATAGTTCCGTATCAACTTTTGAGCGATTTCCGACAACCGGAAGTGGTACTTTTTCAACTTTGAATTTTTCAGAAGCCTATAACTTGAGGACTATTTCAGATAAATAAATGAAATTTCAAATTTAAGTGAAAGATCTAATTCTCTACCTTCTGTCAAATTTCTGAGTAATTTCCGTTGACCGGAAATACCAATTCATGGTATTTCCGATTTCTCAAAAAACGCACGTAAATTTATAAAGTACTAATAATATCCCGCACTATTATGCACATTTTGTTAGGCGTTCACTTAGTGTGCAATTCTTTTATTTACGAGATTCCATTCTATTATAAAAAGTTTAAGTAATTAAAAATGGATTACAAATATTGTCTATGTCCTGAGTTGCCTTAACCTTAACCTTAACCTTAACCTTAACCTTAACCTTAACCTTAACCTTAACCTTAACCTTAACCTTAACCTTAACCTTAACCTTAACCTTAACCTTAACCTTAACCTTAACCTTAACCTTAACCTTAACCTTAACCTTAACCTTAACCTTAACCTTAACCTTAACCTTAACCTTAACCTTAACCTTAACCTTAACCTTAACCTTAACCTTAACCTTAACCTTAACCTTAACCTTAACCTTAACCTTAACCTTAACCTTAACCTTAACCTTAACCTTAACCTTAACCTTAACCTTAACCTTAACCTTAACCTTAACCTTAACCTTAACCTTAACCTTAACCTTAACCTTAACCTTAACCTTAACCTTAACCTTAACCTTAACCTTAACCTTAACCTTAACCTTAACCTTAACCTTAACCTTAACCTTAACCTTAACCTTAACCTTAACCTGAACCTGAACCTGAACCTTAACCTTAACCTTAACCTTGACCTTGACCTTGACCTTGACCTTAACCTTAACCTTGACCTTAACCTTGACCTTGACCTCAACCTTAGCCTTAACCATAACCTTAACCTTAACCTTAACCTTAACCTTAACCTTAACCTTAACCTTAACCTTAACCTTAACCTTAACCTTAACCTTAACCTTAACCTTAACCTTAACCTTAACCTTAACCTTAACCTTAACCTTAACCTTAACCTTAACCTTAACCTTAACCTTAACCTTAACCTTAACTTTAACCTTAACCTTAACCTTAACCTTAACCTTAACCTTAACCTTAACCTTAACCTTAACCTTAACCTTAACCTTAACCTTAACCTTAACCTTAACCTTAACCTTAACCTTAACCTTAACCTTAACCTTAACCTTAACCTTAACCTTAACCTTAACCTTAACCTTAACCTTAACCTTAACCTTAACCTTAACCTTAACCTTAACCTTAACCTTAACCTTAACCTTAACCTTAACCTTAACCTTAACCTGAACCTGAACCTGAACCTGAACCTTAACCTTAACCTTAACCTTAACCTTAACCTTAACCTTAACCTTAACCTTAACCTTAACCTTAACCTTAACCTTAACCTTAACCTTAACCTTAACCTTAACCTTAACCTTAACCTTAACCTTAACCTTAACCTTAATCTTAACCTTAACCTTAACCTTAACCTTAACCTTAACCTTAACCTTAACCTTAACCTTAACCTTAAAAGTACAGTTGCTTTTTCAAACCTAACGGTCTATAGGGCAAGTGAAGAAGAGTTCACTTGTTTCTGTGACCTCGGCACATGAAGGGATAGTGTGGTCAGCACTATGCCCAGCCGCCTTTATTTTCCCTAACGTGAATTAGGAAGCATCAGAGTTGGGTGGACTGAGGGACGTGTACTGACTTGAACCCGGATGCGAACTCAATACTTACCGCTTTGTTAGAAGGATCCTTAATAACTATGAGTTTAAATGACAAAGGCCGAAACTTTTTTTGAGGTTTTTGAAGGTTAGATACCTTATTTTTAGAAATATAATTAACTCTCAAGCTGTCACGTATTGATACGCTCGCGTGGTAGAGGCAGATACCTTGATTCTAAGGTTATGATTTGACATGTACTTTAAAAATTAATCAATTTTTATTTTATTTTAATATAAAAGTCATAATTAGTAAATTGAATGTTGCTATAACGTTTCTTTGAATTTTCTTCATTACGAGACCGCAACAACGCGCGGAACATGATCGCTTGTCTTACTGTAAAATCATACTTAGTTGACAAGTTAACCTTGCTCTTTTCCTTGTTTTTAGCTCAAGTGTGGTTCGGTCCAAATCAACAGTATCTGTGTCACTGTGTCAACGACCAATGTAACCCTGACGGTTCGTGTAAAAGTGGATCAAAATGCTCTCTAGGCTGGTTTGGTAAAACATGTCAGTATGGTAAGTAAAACATAAATTTTACTTAAATATGTGTTTAACTTTAAAGTATTGGGTGTTTTTTTTGACAAAAGTGTATAAATTATCACAGTTGTATATTGCAATAAATCTTTCAAACCTAAAATTCAACATTTGATTGTGAGATTGTATCTCGGACATTTTTTGTATTTTATTTTACTACAAAAGATAATTTAAAGTCAATTTACCACACACTGTCACAAATCGTGTTTCGTTCTGTTTCAAATTACATTACAGATATAGCAACCCCTTAATTCGAAACTCCTTAGTTTACTAGTGTGATGTTTATCTTATGTTACGCTATAAATATCGCATTACTAAAAAATCAAAGAACTATCAGTTCAAACACGAACAATTAGGTTTATTTCATGAAAATCCCCACATTGCAAATATTTATAGTCATTGTACTAAATTATCACCAATATTGTTACTCTTTGAATCCTATTACTTTATTTTACTGATTTAGCACAATTGATCAAATAAGTATCTATAAAGTTCAGAAAAACAAAAAATAAATATCATTCAACTTCGTGTTTATTAAATAAGCGACAATAGCTGTTTATTATGAGTATTACCTCAATGTGTTAATTCAAACAATTATTATAAAATATAGAATCTGAGGCATGATTAATTGCATACATTGGAGCTATATTCAGTCAGCAGCATACCAAAAAAAACTTATTTCCATTTCACCAAGTTAAGGAGTTACGGAACTAGATCAAATAAACCTCACATTAAAAAATGTATTTGTGTGCGTAAAAATCAATCAAGTAGATTTAAAATTGAGTCAGGCAATCCTAAACTGATATGAGTTTAGCCTCGATGGTAGTATTGATCGCTAGTATTTTTAAATTATGTTGTTATAGTTCCTTTTATTATTGAAATTAGTATTTTTAAATTAAACTTTAAAAAGAAATTGTCCATCGAATTGTCCATCGAATCAGATATAAAACTAGGTATTTTTTTATTTTTCATCCATTTTAATACCACTGAGGAAATTTAAGATCATCGGACAATGGGAAGTGGGTTTAGATTCCAAGATTTTGCGGAGCCACACACATACAAACATATTAAGCAAGCTAAAAAAAGGCTTTTAAAACTTACCCCCACACCACTACCAGGCTTCAACCAGTTGGACTTCCCACAAATGGCTTCTGCCAATATGACTCACGACAAAATACGTCCCCATTAAAGTCCATTTAAATTGGCTCCTTTTTCACTCTTGAACCTTGTCGTCATTTACGAGTTCCATATGTTCTGAGCCATATTGTCCTGAGTCATAATTTTGTTGGCCAAACATTTCGGGAGCTTTATTTTACATAGTCTAACCATACAGTATCAAAAGTCGCTGGTTTCATAGAAACCAATTAGGGTAAGCTCGAAAAAGGGACCCACTGTAATTAGCCATTCCAATCGAAACAAGGTTAACTCACTATACCTAGCCAAAGCAAATTAGAGCAAGTTGGGAAAAAGAGATCGTAAGTGGCGTACAGTACGATTTCCCACTACTGAACATTATAATAAACTAATATAGGCCGACTTTCTAGATCGATTGATTTATCAATATTAAACGATAAGTCTATAAAATACAAAAGTTAAACATTGCGGGCATAACCTGTTTTCTGGAATTATGGCCTTTCCAAAAATAAAAGTTTAAAATATGTCTATTTTAGAAGATAAAAAATTGTAAATATTTTTAATATACTGAAAGTTTATAGTTGATCAAGAAAACATGGCTCTTGTACTAGTGCTCTGACTGTGAATCCTGAAGCAATGGAATCAAAGCACGACTCCTGACACGCTTAATGTATAATTGGGTTAGAAAAAGTGCTTATGAATTAGAAGAGACTGTCTTAGTCATCCATGGAACGGAGTGGCCTAGCGTTGAGAACTAGACTGCTAACCCGAAAGTCTCTGGTTTGAATTCGGGTTCGAGTCCACCCAGCTCTGACTGGTTACTAACTCACATTAGGGAAAACAAAGACAGCTGGACATTGTGCTGAACACACTATCCCTTATATACCAAGGTCATCTGAAACAGATAAACTCCACTTCATCTGCTCCATTTGTTTTGGATCACAACAGGTTAAGATGTTATGTGCGTGTACTTTAACGCCAGAGACCCTTGTGTTCAGCTAGGGGCTAGGTAGGCAAGGTACCCCACAAGAGCTAGAAGGATTCAAATGCTCTTCCCCTGTAGCCTGATCTTTTTGTCGATTATTGCAAGAGAAGGCCAACAGACTATGTAAGCCCATCAAAGCTAATTGTATGAGGCTCCCTTTGGACGCAATTTTAAACCCACAACTGATTTAGCCATTCGTCGAATACAATTATAACACTGCTTATGCAGCAGAAAGATAATTTTGCATTGAAGATTCATTGACTATGTTTTTGAACTTTATTTTTATTTCCACTTTTTCGGTTTACTATTCCCCTCCCTTACATACATTTAGAAGTTGCCTTAAATACTTTCAGTCGCTCTTGATAGACTTTGAATTGTTTACCGAACAGACAACTCTGTAGTCTATAAAAAGATTTAATTAATGTTGTATAATTAATAACAAAGCATGAAATTATTAAAGATACTGCGAAGAATAAATTACTAAAACATAAAATTGTAAAGTTACTATACTGTAGGCCCTAATAAAAATATCCCAAGTCACCCCCCCCCCACACACACAGTTTCACCTATCCGATGTACTGATGCACTATAGTATGTCAAGAATGTTGACGAGAATCCTTCCATATGTTGACATGGATTAAAAACGTGTTTTTTAAAAAGATTTTTCAATCAAAGCGACCGTTCAAATAATAAAAATTATAAACTTAATCCTAAAAATAATTCAGAAACTTAATATTTTTTAGAATTAGTGGTATAGAAGTTGCAAATCCTGAGAACATGAACATATTTTTTTGAGTTCAAGGTTTTTATTATCCACTTTTGTACGAGAAACTTTGATTGGCCTTACAAGAACTTCCTGATCGATAGTTATTGGTTTTTAAATAACATTATGCTATTTAAAGCCACATGACCTATTTTTGCGAGTATAAAAAAAATTATTAAAAAATTAATTCTAGCCTATAGAATAGCAGGATGTTATTGTTTATGTCGCCATTACCACGTGAAAACCAAAATTGTGTTGAATTACCGAAAATATTAAAACGACAATTACATCCACTCCTTTTTTATAGTCTGAAAAAATAAACTAATCAGGATTTTATAACCATATTTATTTTAATTACACCGTGCGTGATTTAAAAAATAATATTTAATGGGTCTTTAGAATATCTTTTAGACTATTCTCGCTTGAGTTCATTAGTTTACACAACGACATAAGCTAAACCAACATGAATCTCACAACAAATTTTTAACCAAAAAGTTACTTTCATGTGAATCTCGTTAATCCCTCCTACACTAATGCAAAGTTAACAAACCAAAACAATAACTTACGAATAACATTGTTAAGATCATATTTAACCTGTATTGCAGTGGATCTACTCGGCCATTTTAACAACACTCACATATTAACCGACAACGATGAAAATACGTGTTTGGGCATAACAACAGAACATGTGAACTTACCACTAGGAGCCGAGTACCCTACAGTTCAAGTACGGTTTGTGTATAAGAAAGGTACGTTAAAATCTGTCGGAATTTTACCCGCAGTTGTTTTTCCCCGGAAATGGATGTTTATAATACGTTTTGTATTCAGGAACAAAACAAAAAAAGGATCATGTTAGACAATTCATTTCAACAACAGACACAAATACTAAAAATATAAAGCTAAAGAATTATATTTGACAGAATTTTATTAAACACTACTGATTTTAATTTTACAATGTTCTTTTCTTTTAAATACTACTAGCCGTCCCGGCTGTAACTGCACTGGCATCTCTGAAAAACGTATCGGTCAAGGACAATAACTTGTGTGTTTAGTAATTAGCATTTACCCGGCATCGCCCACCCTAACCACAACCAACCAAAACACAAACAAAAACGCAAACATAACACTAACACAAAACAAACACAAATGAAAACGAAAACACAAAAACAAAAACAAACGCAAAGACATACCCAACCACAACCACAAAAAAAACAAAAACACTAACGCAAACAAAAAAGCAAACGAAAACAAATCCAAACGCTAACACAAACCCAACCACAACCAAAAAATACCAAAACACACCTAAAAAAACAACGCAAACATAACACAAATTCAAACACAAACGCGAACACAAAAACAAACACAAACACAACCACAAACACAAAAAACAAACGAAAAAGCAAACGAAAACACAAACGCAAAAAAAAGCAAACGAAAACAAACCCAAATCCAAACGCAAACACAACCACTAACGCAAACCCAACCTAAACACAAAGAAAACACTAACGCTAACATAAACGCAAAGTGTTAGCCCGGGGCGCCAAATCGCACCATGCTGGGGCGCCGGGATCGCCTGATTCAACTTAGTAAACGACTATAGTACCCAACTTATTCATAGTCTTTGAACTCACTTACGCGAGCGTAGGTACCATTGCGAACACGGGAAGGCCCGGGGCGCCAAATAGCACCCTGTCGGGGTGCCGGAGGACGCCCAGATTGTATTAACATAAAAACTATAGTAACCTTTCTTATCCATAGTCTATCGCACTGTTTAAAACGAAATTATGCAGCATAGCGCTCACCTGATAGCCCAGGGCGCCAAATCGAACCGTGCAGGGGCGCCGGCGAACGCGCCTGTTTCAATTTAGTGAACAAAATTATTATACTCCAAGCTTATCCGTAAATGGAAAGAAATAAACATATAGGATTTGTAGGACCTGTCTTTTTAATTGTTATTGATTAAAAAAAATAATTAGTAGACAGTATGTTCAGTGTATAGAATAAATAAAAGGCAGTATTAAAAAAACCAACGACATTGCACTTAATCGATACCCGCTAATTATGTAATTATTTTTTTTCCTAACACTAAAACAAAGTAATAAAATGTAAATTCTTTCTTCCCTCGATTTAATGGTTTTTTAAAGGGAAGTAACTGTGTTTTCCAAATCAAGAGACGTTATGAGAACTAAAGGAAAAAATGCAAATACATTTCAGACACAATTTTAGAATTTTTATAAACGTTAATACACTTTTTAAAAAATTTTATGTAATGTTCATAATTGAAAATTATTATCCTAAGTATATAAAATGAAAATTGTTTTTAACCCTTTAATCACGGAATTAGGTTCGGAATGAATTTTTTTCTTAAACAATGTGTTATCATATTGCTTTTGGCACATTTAAAGCACATTTAAATTTTAAATGGCACAAACATACATTGGTACTTATAAGTACCGTCAGGAATGTAGGACATTTTTTTCCAAAAAAAAAATAATTACAAAACAGGAGCAAACTATACAATTTATCAACTAATAACATGGCAATCATTATAACAATCATTTTTTTTCTAATTTTCATTCATAAGCACACCACAAAAGTATATTTTGAATACGATTTTTACTGGATTTTCTATCGGAACACATCTTAGACCTCAAGCACAGCAAAAGTTGCCAACAAGTCATGCTCCCTCATTGTTGTCTGTGGTCTTTCTGGTTTAGCAACGCTTGTTGGACTGAACATGCTTTTGCTGGAAGCTGTCAAAAACTATTACAATGAGCCGCATAAACAAACAAAAGCCTTGTCATTCAGTACACAACTACTAGTAATACTAGTATAATTGTAGCGTGCTAGAATGTTATGACATGTCTACACTACAGTGCAAAGTTCATAAATAGAAGTGAGCTCAGAGTGTTTAGGACAGACGTAGTGGCCTACTGTTTTCTGTTTACTGATTAAAATTTACCATATAGATCTATACTATATGCAGACGTATGGACTATTACTAGTATACAGGTATACATTACGTAAATGCTAGTTATTATAGGCAAGACAGTTTATTGCAGTAAATATAACTAACATATTAAATCTAACTACTAGAACTAGGCTCTGGTATACAAATGAAGTAAACAAAACCTAGTAAACGAGCCTGCAACTGTTACCTTTATTCTTGTTATAATTTTACTACTAGAAATCAACATGTAATTACAATATTTCTTAGGTAAACCATATGCTTATCTTCTGATTAATGTGTAAATATCATTTTTTGAGTTAATTTCGATAATTAATTATCAAAATAATATTTAAGTGACTCCTTATTTTTCCTAAAAATCCTAAAAAAAAATGACCGTGTGCCCTGACGGTACTTATTAGTCCACTTGTAAACATTGATCTATTGCAAAGACAATTTGATTAAAATTGTATAACTAGAAGTTAAACGCGTTTGCCTGACTATTGAAGGCGCCAATGAAAAATATTTGGGGTTGAAAACTTGAAAAATAAGGTAAAACAAAGGGAATTCAGGAATGTGTGTGAGAACTGTACAGAAAAATTGTGAACTACCGATACAGCAAGACATTGAAAATGGCGCCACACCAGAAATTTTCAAAAAACATCGATCCTTCCAACTACAGGTGACTCAGGGTTGATAATACTATTAAAATTCGTATTAAATTAAAAACAATACAGGCGCTTAATTTAGGTGATACTTTAAAGTACCGTCAGTAGATAAAGGGTTAAAGACTTTCAATAGTAATTTTTTATCTCATAAATTTTGACCGTGAGCGCTTTAATAATCTAACATTTGAATCCATCGAGTATCGTTTTTTTTTTCGTTTTTTTTCTATTCCTTTGTTATCCTCGATTACAAACATTTTACAAACTAATATTTTACAAACAAACGTACAGGATAGAACTTTATATATTAGATTAAACAATTTAATAATATTTGTTAATTAAACATCTATTGAAATTTTCAACATTGCGATTGGTTTTTATTATTCGCTTAAAGTAAATCGGAACTTAAAGGCCAAAAATCGTTTTCACTAATTAATGAATTTAGAATACAAAAGCGTAAGGCATTGAAGACAATATGTCCGTTTAAGTGAAATGAGTAATGGAAATTCGAATAATAAGTTAACAAGTACAGAAAATTAACCGTAAGATTTCAGTACCCACATATTTTTAAGGTTCTGTTTGAAAATATTTTGTCATTTTATAATATGGACTTTTTTCAACGGCGGAATCATTAAAAAAATAACAATAACAGGTATGAAGGATATTACTACACCTGACACAACTTTTGTATGTGGCTCTAGAAAGTACGTCGTGGACAACGAGGTGGTTGATTATTTCTGTGATATTTACACGGTTGTTAGCAATATCAAATTGAGTGGCAAAACTTTAAACAATTTGTGCTCTGTTTATTTCAGCGGAGGTTAGTAATGTTTTCTTTTATATTCTTTATACGTATCAAGCAACGATCATCCTAATTGTCTCAAACATCAGATAGCGTTATAAAATGAAATCAAATAATGTAGCATTGTAGATCAAAATGAATTGAAAATCTCCATGTTTTACATTTCACACAAGTTAAACCTTTTTACATTAATATTTAACATTCTTTTAAAACATTAGAATATTCTAAAACGTAAACGTCACGTAATTCAAACCTATGCCCCTCGCCCACTAAAAATAAAACCAAACTGTTTACCATATTATTTACTTTCTATTTTTCTAAAAAAAAGGCCGCAACGTTGCATTGAAACAACAAGTAAAACAGTCTAGCCATTATTATAATATTTATCCAGCAAGCTTGGCCGTAGACGGTACTTCAGACAATTGTGAACGTGTGTTTTCACACACCAGTGACGCAGACGCAAATCCTTCATTTGAACTTTTGTTTGGCACAGCGATGACAGTATCTAAGGTTAGGATCTTCAACCGTGGAGGAGGAGGTGCGTTTAAATATATTTTGTTAAAAGTTTTTTGAAAGAAACAATAATGTACCTTACATATTTATTAGTTTATTATTGTATTTAAAAATAAACAAAATTTATTTATGCTATCTAAGAGCCAAGCCATTTTAATAATTAAAGCTAAAGTTTTACAAGTTTTTATATGAATCTACAAATTTCGATGAAAATTAGTTATTTTTCTTATTATTATAACACATTTCAAGTAATTGTTGTGTTGAAAAAAAATATATTCTTAAATTAAATTGGCCATACAAGTTTTGAATTGCACGCTAAAATACATTATTATATAGAATTTTTTTCTTTTAAATTTCCGATCTAAGTTCAAATTATTTTAAGAATGAAAAAAATCAAATACAAGAAAATTATACATGTGAAATAAATAATAAAATCCAAAATTAACAACGTCATAATGTACATAAACATCAAGATTGTTATAAAATAAAGGTCAAAATCAAAGTCAAAATCTAGGTTCAGGTCCAGGTCCAGGTCCAGGTCCAGGTCCAGGTCCAGGTCCAGGTCCAGGTCCAGGTCCAGGTCCAGGTCCAGGTCCAGGTCCAGGTCCAAGTCGAGCTCTACGTCTCAGATATGTCTAGTATATATGTTTAGTATATTATCGTTGCAAGTAACTCTGGTATCCGCATTTACGAAAACACATTTTAACGTAGAGCGATGACTTATTTTGTTATTCAAATGACGGACCTTGCGTCTTTTTTCTAAAATATCTTCACACTATTTCAGCTAGCGCTTTTAGCTTGGGAACAGAGAAGCGTTTAAAAGGCTTTGAAATGGAAGTTTTTGATTCAGGATCCAACGTTCTCTTTCGATACAAAGACACAAAAGATGTGCAGATGGTTTATGATTTGGACGTAAAATTACTGAGAGGAGCTACCAAAATTAATATCAAGCAGAAAGAAAAACCACCAGGTGAAACACAGCCGAAAATTTCTATTTGTGAGTTAGAAGTGTATGGAGGTAAGGACATATTAAAATTTAAAGTGTACCAAATAAAGAGTAAAATTAGATTTTGTTTGCAAAAGGAAGTTTTGAAGAAATGTGATTTTTTTTAAGTTGACGAATGGATAGGGTAATAAAAAAGGGAGAATGTCTTTTTGTTTTAGATTTGAAACAAAGTCTTTGAATAGCAATTTTGATTCTGTCTAGTATAATCTTTTTCGTATGTTTTTGTAAAAAGTTTACCTTCAAACTAAGGTTTTCTTCTGCGCTACACTAATACGATGCTAATACATTATATACACAAAGCATACATTCATATTGAATATATTAAGTTGCATAAAACTTTTTATTTATCTATTTTTATGTGATGTTAGACTGCGATAATGGCTTTTGGGATTTAGACTGTAAAAGATGTAGTGGCCTTTGCTCTAGAGCCTGTCATAAGGAGACTGGACAATGTCAAGGTAGGCCTATTGATAAAGCATAGTAGATATTAAAACTTCATTTGTATGATCTACAAGTACTGCAGTTTCGCATTGTCTTTAAATACTGATACTGTATCTAAAACTAAGATACATTACACTAACTTATTTAGGATTCGGAAGAATATGCTGATATATACAAAGGCCGACAACGACTTAGAGCCGTTTTGATAAAAGGCAAACAACAAAAAGGCTCATGTAATATCTCAATATAATGAAAAGTTGTGTAATTTAGACGGTAAAATTTGTTAACATAAAAAATTCCCATTATTATCCCCACACTCTTGTCTACCCGACACTCATAAAAAAATATAATTATATTGATATTGTGTATATGTTTATTTGTGGGTAAAATTCTACTTTAAACAATAAGCTAAATAAAGTGTCTAGCTTTTCAAGTCTATTGATGCAATTAGTAGTATATTAGATTTCCGTTAGGCAGATGAAATATTTATGTTTCTTCTCCTCGATGTATAAAGGGAAGGTATGGTCAACACTTTGCCCAGCCGCCTTTACTTTCCCTAATTCGAATTAGGTAACCAGTAATGCTGGTCGGACTCAGAGACGCTCAATTGATCCCGGATTCGAACTCTAGATTTTCGGGTTAGCAGTCTAGAGCTCTAGCGCTCAGCCACGTTATACATTGAAAGTTGCTTAACAGCTGTAATTAATTTTTTTTCTGTAATCACAGCAACACGCGACAATTGCACTTTTACAGATTAAAAAAACACCACGAATAAGCAATTTATTGATTTAGAGAATAACTTCAGTACAAAATTATATTAATTTAAAAGGCATAGGTCTCTTAGTGAACTTTGGTACTTTATTAGGGCTACAGTACATTCCTTCCGGACATTTACCCCCCCCCCCCCCATATATACCCCCGAAGCAATTAACCCCCTGTCAATTACACCCCTGTCAATTATCCCCTAGAGAATTACCCCTCCCCCCAATTCGGCACCCCGTCAAAAGAGCGCACGACAAAAGAGCGCCGACATAAGAGCGCAGACAAAAGAGCGCCGACATAAGAGCGCCGACATAAGAGCGCACCAATTTCCCGACAAAAGAGCGCCGACATAAGAGCGCAAACTAAAGATCGAAAAACCATATTTAATAAATAAAAACAAGAAAATTAACTCAGATCATAATAATCATTTCATACTTCATTAAGTATACACATTTACACTTTAAAATATAAGTATAATTGAATTTGAAATATTGTTTACATTTCTATTTAGTTACATATTTATATACATGAAAACGTTATACCATTGTCTTTATGTATATCCATCAAACCCGATAAAGTGTTGGAGGAAATGCTGACAAACTCCTTCTATAATCGATACAAAATATTATTGTTTTTAGACTGCGATGACGGATCGTGGGGTTGGGACTGCAAAAATAAATGTGTCCAAAGCTGTAGTAACTTCTGTCATAAAGAAACAGGAAAATGTTGACGACAGAAACGCTACGTGTTTGATGGTTCTTGAAACGGAGTAATCAAAATTAATTCATTTATTAATTATTCATTCATTACTTATTTCTCCGAATTAAAATAACTATATCAGGGTTGAGCATATTAATAAAAATAATTTCAAAACCATACAATTAACATAAATGCTTTATATTAATTAAAATGATAATAATAACAACGATAATAATAATTATAATAGTAATAATAATAATAATAACAATAATAATAATAAAAAGAATAAAAAGCTTATTAAATAGTGATACAAAATGATCTTATTAAAGCTTATATTGTTAAATCCTTACAGGTGCCAGATTTAAAGATTGCTACTGTTGTTGATACGCTGACTTTAAAAAAGCTACAGGAACATATTGAAAAAATCTTTTTTTTTTAATTTGATAGTAGCATTTACTTTTTAAATTATTTCAGTAAATAAAATGTGTAACAGTCAATCAAAAATAAAAAAAATAATCAGTGAAATAAGATTTCTCTAGTTCTTATGTCTTGTAACATATTTTTTTAAAACAAAATATTTGAGATTGATGGTTATTAATAATCATGATTTCTTAAGGCAAAATAGTAATAATAATTTTTATCAGAAACAAGAAATAAAAAAAAAAAATTGGTATTCACACACAGGACAAAATGTATCAGGACAAATGATATCATGGACAAAAAATCTCAGACAAAATATCTCAGACAAAATATCTCACAGCAAAATTTTAATAGTGTATTTTTTGTCTCCTACACTGCACTACCAGCCCTAACGCCGCACAACAAGAGATTTCTTTGCAGTGTTTCTTGCATTCATATCTCATGGGAAAGCGTAGATGAGGAGAGGGTGGAGCACGGCCATTGAAGGAATTGGAAAGAAATAGAAAACTAAAATCGAAAAAAGAGTCAATTTAAATTAATTTAGATCAAAACTTATGGAAGAAACCACGTATCATCTACCTAATGTATCATACTCACGTTTCGATTTGCCAAATTTTTAAAGTTTTGTATACTTGATTAATTAAATACATGATAAATAATCATTAGCTCAAAATACAAATTAGCAATGTCCAGTTGTATCAATGGGAATTTCGTAATGTTTATTTACATTCGACAACCTTATCTTTAGATTTTTATCAAGTAAATCATCTTTGTTCATTGTTACCGATTCGACATACCAGTCGTGAAAACTTTGGTAGCTGTTTTCTAAATCTGGTAGTAAAATTTGTTTACTCCGCTTCATCGGCTGTGGGACGAAATATATGTATCTTAGACACTCAATCAACTGCGTGATGTCCTCGATAATTCTCTTATCCATTTGCATCTCCTGTGTTTTAGACAATACACTACCTGCTGCATCAAAACCTATATATGTATTATCAATTTCTTTCTGGAGCTTATTCCAAAGTTCCTCGATTCTCTGTAAACGATACTCAATGTTTTCCATCGTGTTGATGTTTTCGTGTAACTGATGATGTAATTTCCCCATGAATAAACACGTTTCTTTTAATATTTCCTCTAACTCTATGTTGTTTTTAAAAAGTCTTGCATCGATATTTGCCATGAGATGACTAGTACATGTATCCTGAATTTTTTCCACTCGTGCAAAAAACTCATCAAAACCATTTTCTGGATCGTTTATGTCATACATTAAAAACCTCTCTCCGGTTATGTTTTTAATGTTAATGTACTCGCTTTCAACTTCCTTTTCTATTACGCATTCTTTTGAATAAATCATAATACAAAACGCATAGTTCATATCAATATTGAAATCATCGTGTACAATGGTTAGTAATAAATTCATTTCCCTTACTGTATCCGCTGTAAATGCTAGGAAAATAGCATTATAGCCCATATGGCTTAAACACAGACATGATTTCATATGATCAATAAAATAGTCAAGTTGGATGTCACCATACACAGGGCCATCAACAAGTTTTATTATTCTGTTATCTCGTTCAGAGTAATTCAATGTTAACACTGCACTGTCTCCCTTTTGTGGATTCCTCTTTAAAGAATCTTTGTTTTCATTTGTAACGTAATTTTTTCTTTGCAGTATTGATCTCTTGAATAATTCGATGTTACAGTTTCGAGTCCCTATTAGTAGTATTGAAGATTTCACTTTATAAATACTTAGGTCAAATATTTTCCTGAAATGAATAGATGTTATTTGAAATAGTACAATATTATTGAATACTTTTTTAAAGTGAAATGTAAAAAAAAACAACTTACGTATAACTTTTTTTTCCAAATACCATTTTAGCATTGCAATACATGTAACAACAGCATCAATAAAATAAAAAATAAATATTAAAAAGAAACACTCATTACTGTTTACTGTATTTAAGATTACAAAATTTATCATGAAAAAAAGACACTACACATATTTATTTTTCATGTAATTAATTCCCACTAATTTAGTTTTGATTTTTTTTCCAAAAGTTAAAATATTAAAAGCAAATATGCTATGTTTAATATAAAAAACCCAGCTTTCAATTAGCGCAAAGTAAATTATAAATATATACTAAAAATTAATAATGGCTAAATTTTAGACCTAAATATTCTTTAACACTTCTCCTATGCTTGAATTTTTATTCACATTGCGTGTATATAACTGACAAAAATATATCATTCACAATGCTGTTAGTAAAAAGTAGACAATTTATAATTTAGTAAGTTAGAGGTTAAAATCACTGAGTTATAGAAAATTAATAAAACATTTATGACTTCGTTTGAACATTAGATATTCAATATTCGTTTTGTTGTCTAAATCTATCTAAAACTAAAAATTGCCCATCGCTTAACTAATTACACTGCTACAATAGAAAAAAAAATACCGTGCTTTATGCGAATCCGAATCAATTGTCACCAAAGTAGAGACTAAGAAAAGAAGAAAATACATTTTGCTAAATAAAATGCTATGGCGCGTAAATGTTTACGGTGTTCTCTACAGTATTAGCTAAATAAAAAATAAGTATATAAAAATAAGTATATATATATATATATATATATATATATATATATATATATATATATATATATATATATTTGTAAATATTTAAACTGATTTTTCGAAAAAAAAATTATATAATGTGAAACGATATTTAAGCAATTAAGCAATTTATTTAGATTTATTTATCGATAGAAAACTGGTGAGAAAAAATGTATATAATATGCTCATCAAGGTTCAATATTTACCTTCATGATGCAACAATGCTTTTCTGCAAATGATAGTTAAATAATTAAATGAACGTATAATTTTTTAAAGATATTACACAGTAACGTCTATAGTTGCACTAAAGCTAAGTTTGTGTTTAAATTGTTAGAATTTAAGCTAATTTATTTTGCTCTATATCTAATTTTTATTTTTATATAAACTTACTTCTCGTTGAGTACATTCATCTTTATATCGTCGGTTCCTGAGAAATGTACATTTGTATGAACAAGGGCAGTCTTTGCATTTAAATTTAAATAAGCAATACATATGGGTTTAAAAAAATATCAAATATTATTTTAATATTTTAATAATAGTTTCTAAGTATTCATATATAATTAGTTTATTTAAACAAATACCACCGGCTTGTGGGTCTGGATTCCTGAAATTAAAAATGATTCAATGGTTTTCGGTATTTGAAAACATTTAAAAAAAAAAAAGTAAACAGTATTTTGTTTTAAAAAGATTACTTGAAATTTGTATGAATCCATCTTAAAATCAATGTAGTGCTTACTTTTCATTGCTTTCAGCTTCATCTTTGTTTGTAGAATACTTGGCTAATGATTATTAGAGTATAAAAATATATCCTTACATAAGTCAGATCACTTTTAAGTGTAAACATGATTTAATACTTTAACGATTAAAAAAAAAACAACAGAAAAAAAAACATTACTTTATAAGAAGAGTATTAAACATATATCGAAGTTGGTACTAGCCATTTACATTCGTCTAAAATAACGAGCAGGCGCATATAATTAGTGATTGATTTTTTTATTATGAAAGGTGCTTACCCCTGTAAAACATCCTGGAAAGTAAATATTTAATGCATTAAAAAAAACAAAAAAAAAACTTATTAGCTAGAGCTATATAAAATGATAAACATAAAACCGAAAAAAATTGAATTTTTTACACACCTGTCAATGCCTGGCACACCTTTTTCTGGTTTACCTGTCATGTAGTTTTAATGTAACACACATTTCACTTTACATTGTACATAAATAGGGCATAATAATATAATTTATTGAAAATGTTAGAAGATTTGTAACTGTAATTTAAATATATAAAATATGTATATTAGGACTAGAACAATTTATTTACTATGGATAAGTTATAGTTGTTTATTTTAAGAATAAACATACGCACATCTTTTGATAAGTATTAAACAGATCACACATATCACAATGATAGCGATGGTCAAAAATATAGAAAGTACTATCACAGTGCTTTCATAGTCACAGGCAGAAGCTGAAAAAGAATTTAGCAGTACATTTTAAGCCAATGTTAAAAATGCATTAATGTATAGTCAAAATTACAATGTGTGTCACAATACTATTAAAAAGAAATTACCATGTAATTTACAAGTGAAATGAATTTTCATTTCATTGTAGTTATTAATATTAAATGGTTGTGGATAGAACATTATTTAGCAATAATACAACTACTGGACATGTAATATCTTCTAATAAGGTGACACATATACTGCCTGTTTTTAAAATATATGCGTACTGTATTTTCATGTATTTTTCATAACCTACATCTAAACATACAATCTCTGAACAGTAGAGGTAGCAAATTATATTTAATTATCGCATGATGAGTATAATCCTATAATATAACATACTGAACAACAACAATGGTAAAAACACAGACAGTTTATATAAGCTTTATTAATCATAACACTAGATATATTGCTTAACGTTGAAGAAAATAAGATTTATTGTATGCTCTTCCTTTATGAAAAATTTAAAAATACTCACTTTGTGTACTAATTTTAGCACAGTCATTTTCCGAACACACAACTGGTAAGCAAGCAACAGCTTGATCTATTTTCGTAGAGATATGTTTAAGATAATAATTTGATTTGGTTAATTAAATCAAGCAAATTTTTGTCCTTATTGACTTTCTTTTAAGTTAAAGTACCTGTTAATTCTGTAACACTTGTGATGTATTCATCCGATTGTTCACCTACACGTGTATTGTTCATGTACCAATCAAAGATTGAAGTGTTCCCATCCAATCGCCTACACCGACATTTTATTTGTTGTTGTTTCACCTCACATTCTTTTAGTACCACTGTCTTTGGCTCTGTCAACAGTTAGAAACCGATTTAGGGAAATCTGTACGCTTTTCAGACAGACGAATTAGACGCTCAACCACCTTTAATGACATTAAACTTCAGCCATAGTTTATTTATGTCATAGAACGTATCTGAGCCAACCCAGCTTTGATGGGTACCTAACTCACATTAGGGAAAGAATAGGCAACTGTACACACTATCCCTTTTTATGCCGAGTTCACAGAATCAGGTGAACTCTACTTCTATTGTCCCATGGACCGTCACATTCTAAAATGGAATTTTACTTTAGCAAGGTACCACCAAAGTATTATCGCTTAGATAACCGTTCGTTTATGAAATGATAATATAACTGTTTCCCATTTATAAAGGGATACAGCCAAAATAATTACTACCAGTAACTATTTTAAAAATAAGGCAATTTTTTTTTCGAATCGATCGCTGTCCTATTTTAAATACTATTCTTTAACAACAACAAAAACTTCACTCTCATAAATCAATCGCTAACGATTCCCAATATTAGTATTTGATTTTGTTTAAAATATACCTATGTTTAACGAAGACGACGTATTTAGTCCTAGCTTGTAATTAGTTTTAGATGCGACTAAATTTGGATAGACGAAGAAGGTAAAGTACTCCGTTTGTAAATGCAGGTCTTCTCTTAGAAATGTGGTCTTGCAACTGGAATTGTAATAAGCTGGTTCCTCTTTTTCTTTTGAGTTGATACATGAAATTGGAGGTGACGGAACATTTCTTCTTTCCACAATCATCTGAAAAATGTAATACATTTTAGTATCTTATTTATAAAAGGAAAAAAACGGTAGTTTAGTATAGAAAAACTTAATTTTTAGGAATAGGATTATTACTATTGTGAGACGGTTGTGTATTTTTTAATGGTATTAGCAATGTAAAGTAGTCATTGGGATAAACCTCAAATAAATAAATTTAAAATTTAATCATGTTGGAATCCGAAAGAAAAAGAAATAAATTTTTACCATTGCTTCTGGAAATATATTTTTGACTTTGCAATCGACATTGTAACCTTCGATAGACCACATGTATTCACAAAAAATATCTCTAGGCTTAGCTGTTAAAAAATATTTACATTTTGATTATGCTGTAAAAGTAAAAAAAAAAAAAAATTAAGAAATATATTTCAAATGTTTGTTTATTGAATCTAATAAAAAAAATTATTTCATTAAAATCACATTGTTTTAAAACCATGATCATCATCTTGAGTTTTACATTGCGTACATTTAAAATATATTTTTTTCTTCGTCTTCTTTGTTCTTAATTGTATAGTCATAATATATTTCGACTAACACAATTAGTTCTAACTTGTCAACATGTTAAGCACCCTATAGCTCGCTGACACAGCCTGCATTTGTTTCTCTATTGGCTTCCTTAGTCTATTTCCATCCTGACTGACTTGAACAGACGACAAGGCAGTAGTTGTGTGATTTAGAAGTTTTCTCTCCTTGAATCTAACATGCCCTGGGGTTCGAAATCGGGACTTTTCGGTTTAGTAACTAAGCGCCTCACCGGACACTTTCTAAAAATATTGTTACAATTTTGTAATTATACTAATAGTTATTAAATGAATTTTAGAACGTCACATTTCATTTTGAAATTGGTATGATTATATTTAAACTACATCCGCAGTGCTTATTACTATATTGTATTAACCCTATACTTACCATAGACTTGTAGGGTACAGTAGTAGAAAACCTCTACACTAAGGCTAGATGTGTGGGTTCTCAATTTCCAAAGTCCTTTGGAGCTACTTGACAATTTTCTTGTCACATAATTAACTCGTAGAGAGAACACAATCGTGTTGTTGACCAGTTCAACCTTTGCCGTCAGCCAGTTGATGTCGTTGGTGACACAGTCACCAGCATCAACAGGACATTCAGCGACTAAAATGTCGTCTTTTGTCCACATGACCATTGTCGTGTCACTCGGAGCTTTAGACATGGTATGTTTCAGTTCATATGGCTGGCCCTCTTCTGCTGGGCTGCATGCATATAAAACTGTAACGTATATTTTTAGATATGTATAAATAATTTAATATTATAACTTTACCGCTAGCTAACCTAGGATAACTGTCCGTTTTTTATTATCTGTTGCAATCCGCAAAGCACTATTTTTCCACAATGAATTTATCAATAGAATGGTAAATTTTTAACACCACTTACAACTAGGCAACAAACTGATTACATTTAGACACTATGCTTCGTCTGTTGAAGCTTCTTTAAGTGCATCAGGAACAATTCCCCGTTACTTTTCAATTAACATTTTCTTCATTGAGACATGAGGCCTAAGGTTAGCCACTATGGTTGTTACTGCGCGATCTTTATCACTGCGTTTTTTCTTTGTTTCAACTTGTTTACAAAAATGTGCTTCACATTTAACATTGAAGATCAATTGTGATAAATGGCGAAGAGAAATGGCGGGGAAAGGCGAAGCGTGCTATACACAATTCGTATTTAGTATTTTAAGAAGGAGGTGGAGTGGGAGTGTTCGATTGTCACTAAGCAGCAGTGGCGCAGGCAGAGGGTGGGTTAGGGGGGGTCATAACCACTCCATAGACCCCACGGTATATAGAAAAAGTATGAGGGGGGGGGTGAAAATCGAAAGTTTGTCCCCGGGTAAAAATTGGAACCCCCCTTTGAGACGATCCTGGCTACGCCACTGCTGAGCAGTGTCTGCTAATGTGTACTGACGTGCCGCGTTGTAAAATTACTATTGTGGTCCCCCACACCCCATATTGAAAACCCACTACAAACTTCTAGACACTTCATGCTTGAATTTACTTTTAATTTATTCTTAGAATACGACTATAAAATCTCAATATCTTACCTGCAACAGCCAGAAGATAAATATACAACTAAATATTTTGTTATCTATTCCTAGAATACGAATATAAAATCTCTATATCTTACCTGCAACAGTCAGTAGATAAAAATACAACAAAATAATTTGTGCTCGATTCATGTTGCGTCTCTGAAACGATAGTAGTGTTTACTCTATGCACAGTGTAAATACAAGTGTAGACACAATCGTGGTTGTGTTGGGAGGCGGGGAGGGGGTGGACTACAATTAACCTTCCGCCTTCTTTTCAAAATCTAGCTTAACCAATCCGGTTTCAGCATTCAATGTGTAAGATAACATGTTTGACTAGTTCTACACACGGGTCGAATTTCACACGTTGCACATTAGGTTTTGTGCCTTGGCCGTGACATATATTCTCCTTTATCGTTATCAATGACTCGGCTCTGCCTGCTGAATGGGCTATAGTAAAGAGCACTTGAGACTCCTAGCTCTTATGTATGCTTGCGGGTTTTCGGGTTTGTGATTGAGACACACTTGCTAGATAGTGTCGGTAGTGATTGAGACACACTTGCTTGATAGTGTCAGTAGTGATTGAGACACACTAGCTAGGTAGTGTCGGTAGTGATTGAGACACACTAGCTTGATAGGGTCGGTAGTGATTGAGACACACTAGCTAGGTAGTGTCGGTAGTGACTGAGACACACTAGCTTGGTAGTGTCGGTAGTGATTGAGACACACTAGCTAGGTAGTGTCGGTAGTGATTGAGATACACTAGGTAGGTAGTGTCGGTAGTGATTGAAAACACTAGCTTGGTACTGTCGGTAGTGATTGAGACACACTTGCTTGGTAGTGTCTTTAGTGATTGAGACACACTTGCTTGGTAGTGTCTTTAGTGATTGAGACACACTTTGCTGATAGTGTCGGTAGTGATTGAGACACGCTTGTCTCGATAAGAAATGTAAGTGTATGTTTTTGTACAGCTTTCAAATTCCAAATGTAATATCAATTAATCATGAACTGAAACTAAACACTATTTTATTGGAAACAAATATGATTATTTATTTTAAAAAACAACAATCTCGTGATTAAAAAAAAACAAATGATTATTAATTTAATACAACTCTTAAAGTGAAAATACGATAAAAACTTTAGATTCCACGTTAACACTGATTTTATTTAACAGTGCATCTTTGGGTTGGTGTTGAGGTTGGCATGGTAGTGTCGGTAAAGCTCATGGTTGCTCAACCTAAAAACCCACAAAAAGAAAAGGCTGAAAAAGGAGTCAAAGGCTTATATGACCCATAACAGAATGACAAGTAATACTTAATTGAGTTGGAGGAAATCTCGTTAATTATTACATCATTACAATAAAGAACGACGAAAAAATAAGAAGTTTTGGTTGTGTAAACGTACACAAACCATTTAACTTTAATAAGTAAACACGTGGCAGCATATATTATCAATAGAAATTTCATGAATACATCATTATGCCTTAAAATATCCATTGAGTTATTTTTTAAATTGTATTTGTTGGCAATTACAAAAAAAATAAATAAATAAACTGAAACGTTTTAATTACTAGACAGCTATATCTAAATCACTACGGAGTACCAGAACGGAACGGCTATTTTAACATTCAGTTATTTATGGTAATTCCCGATGTTACATAGTAAAGTAAAGTAGAGAATCATATTTAGATATAGCGATCCGTTAGATGAAGTAGAGTTCATATGTTTCATGACTGCGGCGTATGAAAGGAAGGTGTGGTCAGAACTCTATCCAGCCGAATTTATTTTCCCTAACATGAGTTTGGTACCCATCAAAGTTGGGTCAAAGACGCTCTACCTGTTTATGCCACGCCGTCCATCCAATGTTACATAGCGAGTATATTTAATGTACGATAACATATTTGATACAATTTTAGGTGAGTAAATGGAGTGCTTTATTTACATCAGCATTTACATAGTATGAGGGTTTTTTATCAAAATATATATAGAAAATCATATAACTTCTTTTCAGATCAGTAATGCTATCACTGATAGTTTGTAAAATTGCGATTTTCCGTACAGCCAACGCTATAACTATGGGTTAGTGCAACATTTGCATCAGTTTCAAATGTAAAAGTCTTTTGTTGGCATAGCAGAAAGCACATAATACGTCAATATAACTACAATGAAATCGTGAAAGGCAGTTTGTAGCCAATGCCATTAAAAATAGACAGAGTAACAATTCACGATACATATTTAAATGACTTAATCAAATTTTTAAATATTTACAATCTGCGTTTGGCAAATTACAAAGTTTGGATATTTTTGGTAAAATATAAATTTTGTATTTTTTTTTCAAAAAATCATAAAAGTCGTTACTTTGTAAATCTAAATTAAGCTTTTATTTATCTAATTCATAAAATAAAATTAGAATTTTGATTTTTCAAGTCAACAATCTTTTTAAAAAGTTCACTTTCAGCTCTGCAAAATTCTCGTAAAATAATAGTTTTTATAAATCAACACTGACTGTTATAAATAAAGAAAAAGCATTTAAACATGAAGGAATAACATGCTTCTGAAAATGCAGTCAATAATGTAAAAATAATCTAGCGATGCATAAAATATTTTTAAAAAATCGGTAAAATGGTATACTCTACATTTCAAAGCTAAAATTTAAAACAAAAATGGCAAAAAATTAACAAAGCTTAAAATTAATATAAACGATTTTTTAAAATTAACTATAAAGATAAAATTATATATATATATATATATATATATATATATATATATATATATATATATATATATATATAAATATATATCTGCGTGATTGTGTTTGCTTAATAATAATAATATAAACAATTGTTTGAAATTATTTAATTTAATAATGTATAATGTAGTAATATTGATGTTTAATATAAAGATAAAAGAATATATATAGCCTATATATATATATATATATATATATATATATATATATATATATATATATACATCTCTATGTGTATATGTATATCTGCGTGTGCGTGTTTGTGTTTGCAGTTGTATGTTAGTGTGTGTATAAATATCATAAAACCTTTTTAATTATACTAGTTTTTGAGTTTTAGGAAAAAAAAATTGATTTCTTTTTTAGCTTAGTTTATTAAGCTTCATTTTGAAATTACTGTTTAGTACACAGTCTTTTTCGCGTATTGTTAAATCTACATACCATTCTAGAAAATTCTGATAACATTCTCTCATATCGGGCAATAGTTTATCATGAATTCTCTTTATTGGCTAAGCAACAAAATAAACTTTTTGAAAACACTGGATCAGATACTTCACGTCTTCAAATACCTTAAGAGTGGGGTTTTTAGATTGGTCCTCTGATTGTAACGTTGTTTGTTCAATTGCTCCCTCATAAAACGTCTCATTTTGTACGCCAGAATCAGCTGAACTATCAACATTGTAATGTAGATAATCATCCCATGTTTTTGCAAGAATCTGTAATCTTTCTTGTATTTCTCTTAGTTTAGTTTCTCTGTCATCATTGTCTCTTTTTTCAGTGTCTTCTGTTTGTGTTTTATTACATTCCCTTTCAGTATTTAACATGTATTTGATATCTCCTTTTCCAATTTTACTTTCGATGTCGCCTGGCTTGTTAGAAATTATTTCCATTAAGAGCGATAATTCTTTTGAAACTGTTTCTAAATTATTGTCACGTGCTAGTGTTTCAGCATTTTCTGCAAACACTGGCTCTGCGTTTACTTTACCCATCTGACACACCAGAGAAAAAAAATCATTATTGTCATTGTAAGTGACTAAGGGGTAAAACTGAATAAATCTTTCTCCAAATGACGTTTTAAATTCATTATCCATTTTCGTTTGTTTAATTTCAATACTTTTATCTTTCATCGTATTTTCTCTGGGATCATTATTCATGTATTCATATTCTTTGTAGTTGACATTATTTGATTTAATTAGAATTATGTTATTCATATTGAAAGCAAACGTCTCATGCAATATCTTTGTTAAAGGACTGATTTCTTTTTCTTTATCAGTCGTATATACCACAACAACAGCATTGTAGCCCTCACGACAGAGAACAAGACAGGATTTCATTTCTTCTATAAATTTCTTGACCTCTTTCTGATCATACACGGGGCCGTCTACTAGTTTAAACACTGCATCCTCACGTTTAGAGTAATGAACTTGTAATTTTACGTTGTCCGGTAGTTTAACTTTCTCCCCGCTCGTGTCGAATATTATTTGTTTTGTTTTGCAATCCATGATTTTCCATTTTGTCGAGTCCTTTACAAATGCTTTTACTTTCTCACTTGTAATACAGTAGGGTTCTTGAAGCAGTGATCTCTTAAACAATTCTTTATTACAGTCTTTTGTTCCTAGAAGTAGTATTGATGTTTTAACATTGTAGACGCTGAAGTCAAACCTTAAAAAAGAAATCACAGTTAAGTATTTAGTTTAACTATCTCAATAAGCAAATCAATACTTAAAAATACATTATGTTTATATGTGGTATACAACGTTAATTTATTAGTTGTGTGGCTTTATCGTTACTTTAAGATATTTCCTCGACAAATATTCAGTTTGTAAACGCATTTATATTGCAACTTTTGAAAGTCTCTGGTTATAATATCATTTGCAAAAGCTTCCATTTACTATCTCGATAAGATGGAGCTAACTGTAGCCAGTTGTTCAGAAATCGGGCTCTAGAGTTGACTGTCCCTCACGATACACTAAGGGAGAAAGCAAAACGCCATGTCGAAACTACGGATCTTCCGATTGTTAACATGATCGACAAAAACGTTCGATATTCGTAGAACACACTTCTACCTTGTTGTAAACGTACATAGAAAGGATTGAGAGAGACAAGAGAGAGAGAGGGAGAGAGATAGAAAAATAAAATGCAGTATTGTATTAACTTTGAACAAGAAAAATTAGAAGTTGTAAATATTTAGTTAAAATGAAACCTATATTTCGAAAGACTTATCCAAATCACACAATTAGACTCAATATTTAGACAGTAATTTTTAAGTCTAAATATTAATTGTAAACATACGTTTTGATAGTTTTTCGTTCAAATACAAATAGGACGACTTATAATATTTATATAATCGTGGATGCTAGCTCTGTTTTAACTAAATCTAGCCTACCTTGGTTTGTCCGATTTAACGTCATGTTTTGTAATATCGGAGGAACCTTGTTCTAAAAAAAAGAAACAAATATATTTTTAAAAATCTATGTGCAAATCTTTATATTCAAAGGTACTTAGGGTATATATCTTCTTAATAAATGTATATACATATAAACCAGAGATATCCTAAACAAAGAGAATTATTTATCTCACCGTTGCTAACTTCATCCACTTTTCTGAAATTAAAATAGCAAAAAAGTTCCTTTTAATTATTTTTGAACAACCTTTGCAGCTCTTTTTCATTACTATTATATCATACACCTGCTAGCTAGTTCAATAAATTAAAATATTTTTCTTTTTATAAAAGACAAAAAGCTATAGTATACTCTACGTTCCCAAAAATAAAAAAGTAGATACATGTAAAAATTCAAATTTACTGTTAAAACGTTATAGGATTGTTTTCTTGACTTAATATGTATACGTACATTTCAGAAGTTGAAGAAAGCGTAGCTTCATTTTTTTCTGTTAAAAGGAATTATAATTATTACGATACAATTATACAGAAAATACAATTTACAATATTTGGTGATAAACATAGTAGCTAATACAAAGTTGTTACAGGCAAATAAACATAAGTTTTCATTTAACAATTTTCTAATAAATAAGTGCTTAGCCTACCGAAAGCTAATCATTTAAATTTCTCGATACAAATACTTAAGTTCCATTTTTTATTTTTTTAAATATTGATGATTTACATCTCAATGTTTCGTGAAATTAGAAGGGAAAGAACGAACGAGTGAGAGTTGTCGAACAATACTCTTGACGTATGGTGTCGGTGAATCTTTGGGGATCAATTCGTTGCGTTAAAGTATGAACTTACCAGTGTTACTTGAAGTTCCTTCTCTAAATGATAAAAGAAATTATTTTAATTTAATTTTGCAATTAAATAATATTGTACAATGTTCCTTAAATCTGCCTTTAAATGATTGTGAAAAGTAAGCCTAGTCAATAATCTATGGTGTAAATCAGGGGTCTTTAAACTACGGCCCGCGGGCCGGATGCAGCCCGCGAAGTGCTCTCATCCGGCCCGCGAAGATCTTTTTGTCCAAGGAAAAATCGTTTGTTGGTGATGGCTGAGCAACTTTGCCCAGAAAAATCAAAGACATGCCTGGAAGAAACTGGCCCCCGAACTGAAATTTGATAGTTAATGCGGCCCTCGGAATGAAAAGTTTGGAGACCCCTGGTGTAAATTGACGCAGAAATTTGCAAACGGTTTTAAATGGGATTAAACATTATAAAACACATTTATTAAAAATATACAAAAAATGAGAAAGATGTGTTGAAAAATAACAGATATTTTAACTTACAATGCTATTTAACATGTAACTTGTTGATTATAATTGAGTTATGGAAATGAAGTAACTTACTTATCAGTAGTCAATAGTGATTTTGATTCACCAGATTCTGCAGGCTCTGAAATGTTTTTGATATATCATAAAACCAGTGCATTGAACAGAATTTATAATAATTTAATTATTTACGTATTTGTAAATTAAAGCAAAAGGCTATTGCTACTTTGCAAAGTATGTAAGGCTATTTTGTAAAATACGTGGTTTTTAAAAGCTAAAATATCAAATATAAGTAAAATGTTTAATATTGTTTTTCAAATATCACTAAAAAATGATATATTTGATAAAATAGTAATGATCATATTAAGCATTATCATTGTTGCAATTTAAAATTTTTAAAAAGTACAATCAACTATAAAATGAAACAAACCTTCTTTTTTACCATCTGTTCTGTAAATAAAAAATCAGATAAAATATAATATGCACACGTTTTAATTTGTCAGAAAAATACAAACAGTGCTGAATTGTCGACTATACAAAACACTAAGTCAATTGGGAGCTTAATATGCATACGTATTAAAGTTGTAATAGTGTAAACAGGAGAAAGAAAATACCATCAAAATCTTATCCTAATAATTCACTGAGACTTCTTCTTCTTCGTTCTTAATTATTAGTGTTGAAGGGGGTCGAGATTTATCTGCCAGTGGGTTTGAACTCGAGACTTTGTTCGAATTTATCAACCATGATCTTTTTGCCGACTCGACCACGCCTCCAACACAATTAAGCGTTACGTGTCAACTGGTTATGCGCAATTGAGGCCATTGACTCCGATTTCAGCCTGCTTTTCTTTTTGGATTTGCTTCCATAGCCTTTGTCCAACCAAGAACAAACTACAAGGCAGCAGTTGTTTGATTTTGGAGTTGTCTCTCCTAGAAGAGTGGCTGTCCCCAGCTAACGAGCCTCATCTGCCCGAGGGTTCGAACTCGAGACTTTTCGGTTTAGCAACCATGAGCTTTACCGACTCGACCATGCAGACCCCTATTCACTGAGACAATTAACGACTATAACAACAAAACAGCGACTTAATTTAAATGTTTTACTTTAAAAAAGACATGCTGTTTAAAATTGTAAAAAAAAACCCATTAAACTCTTACCTTTTCATTGGAAAATTCATTTTGTCTTTAAATAGTTTACCTGTCGATACATGTTTGTAATATTCTTTTCAATAAGTGGCACAACATGAATTGCATATATTTTTCTTCAATTATAAAATAGTTTTTTCTTATTTTAGCCTATAGTATAAGCTAAACGGTTTAAACAGTTCGTGTTCCAAACATTAGTAAAAATATTAATGTCATAGGCACATTTATTGTTGTGACATAATTTATGTTAATTAACCAATAACGCCTATCTATGTTAATCGATATTTTGTGCTATTTTATTTTTATTTATCTCATCCCTGTTCAATTCAGCTTTTATACGCTGAGCTTATTATGTTTATAATCAACAATAGCCCGAAACATTTATATTTTGAATATTTCTTTTAACAAACATAGACATCGCATATTAAAATACAATTGACAACACTGTTAATTATTTTTTCAACGTTTTTTTTTCCTTTAGTGTAGACCATGCACAGTATTTAAAGAAGTATATTAATTTAGTACAGCAGTAGCAGAAAACAGCTTTATTTGTACAAAACTGGTGTAGTTACTATGGCATTCCGGTTGGAAAAAGCACATTGGCATGCGAAAAGGTAAAAATTAAATTCCAAATAAAAATATTTACGATATATTTTGAATTATGAAATGAAAAAAAAATCCCTTACACAATGGTGTGTATATGAAGACCAAAACTAAAATCCCCAAAATGGCTGCTACAAGTAGTATAACGAGTACAATCACAGCGCTGTTGTCTACATCTGAAAAATAATAAAGACTTTCAATCAAAGAGTATCTTGGTGATTTCCCATTTGAATAAAATGTAAACATTAACAACCCATAATATATTTTATTAACTGTTTTCATGGCCAATAAAAATCGAGAACGATTTCAAGAAAATCCTCAAGAAAATTTTAGAAAATACGCTTTTCTTAATGGACATTTTAAAAAGCCTACGGTAGACATTTTTAGGTTTAAAAATATAAAAATATCCGAATTTGCTTGAAATGATATTAGCATTTTAGGGTGTCAGATATTTGCCTGAATAGCTAGGGCTTTTTCTTAGAACCAACTTTTTGTCTCAATGCGCTGTTATATTTGGATTCTAATTGTATTGATTATTGACTCACTATATATTTGATTAATTAATCCAAGACCTGTTGGCATTGTGTGGATAATGAAATTCCTACAAACACTTACTCAGCATAAATTTTATAGAAAACAACCCTTGCAGCTGTTTTCAAAGATTAGTTGCAAAGAATAATAGAAAATACGAATAAATTAACCTACCATGATACTGACGCGTCGTTTCAGTCGTAATAGGTTTACAAATTATGTCATCAACTGTTAAATACATTTATAAAATTAATGAATAGTTGAAAAACAGTCATTTAAATTAATAATTCATAGAAAATCGAGAAAGGCGTCCATCTGACCAATTTAATTTTAGTTTTGATTATATACATTTACAAATATTGCTAGGTAATTTTAACGTTTTAAAATTAAGTTTTATAATTCACGTATGTGCATATATAATTCAAAGATTGTATTAATGAAACTAATGGAAAGGGTATACAGAGTAAACCCACCTGCACCAGGAGATGTTGCCGCTGTATAGTATTGTGATTTCTGTTTCACCTCAACGTCGTTAGCGTACCAATTAAAACCAGACTTACTGTCGTCTGTGTCTAGCCTTTCACAACTACAGCTTATAGAACTAGTTGTTCTGTTGCAGTCTCGAACAGATATTGAAGACGGTTCTATTTTTAAAAATTAAATACAAGTGTATTAAATCTAATAATAATATTTCAGAAAATAAATAGAGACATTAAATATATAGCAGTAATAAGCGGTATTTTGCTGGACACCATTATTGTTCCTTAGCAAATAGATGAATTTCTTATTTTGCTTTGACATAATTGTAATGATAGATTTTAGAATCTATCAGTGTCACTTCCTCTACTTTTATAATTCAATAAAAAACAAGTAAACCACTGAACTATTATTAAAGCTAAGGACCAATGTACATTCAGGCTGTAGACATGTCTTATAAATTGAGTTTTTTCGCGAGGAACTATAGCGACATATCTTTCTACTACCCTCCGAAGCGAGCTTTTTTGATAACTACGACTAACGGTGCAGACTTTAGCACAAGAGTAAAAATAAGGAAATTTTTACTATATCAACAATTAACGATATAAACATACATAATTCATTGGTGTAGCAAAATAAGATCTCAATGCACAATATATGCATGCTCAGCATTCACGACTGAGCATAATCCACGTATTATAATACGTTAAATTTGTATTTGTATATATATTTTCTGTGGAATTGAGACAGATTGTATAGTTTTCTTTTTTAAAATGCTTTTTATTCAAATTAATAACTGCTAAATTAAATTCATTTTAGCACACCTGTATGTGGTAAATAAAGAGGGTGTATTAGACCTTACCTATGAGTAAAGACATAGAAACATTTGTGCCGATCAGGTTATAATCTTTAGTTCCTATCACACTGGGGTAAACGCAAAAAGTAAAATCTTCCATTTCCAAATGTAATTCACTTGTATTAAATCTTCTCTCACAGATTGTTTCGTAGTAAACTGGGTCGTATGTCATAGGTGTGTTCTTGCATGTATCTGAGTTTGAGTCTACTGACGTTCTGAATACAGTAATCTGTTTGCAATAAACATTACATAATTTTATCTCAAAGATTTTATATACATTTTCTTAAGATTTGTTTTTTAAGCTAAATTTTCTTTTATAATCTTTGCTCTTAAAATGATGTAGTTTCCCAATACGTATCACATTTTAGAGTAAATCGAACATTGACAGTTGTTTGCAAAATATCTATTAACAAAATATAAATATCTTGAAATATTGAAGTATTTTTTTACCAATTATTAAATGCATCATTAGTTTGTTGAGGTAAAATAACAGACATAAACCATAGTGTTACCAAAGCCTCTGGGTATATTTGTCTTCCGTAGCAAGACACGGTTAGACCTTCTTTGGACAAAGTCTTTCTACAATTTGTCTCTGCTGGCTTTGCTGTAATCGTTTCAAAATAATAAAATGAATGTTTTCGTTATTTATTATAAAAACCTATAACTATGTTTACATTTTTTGGCGATAATCTAATTTAAGTTATATATATATTTATGTATAAGAAACACATACATGAGAAAATGGAGCATGTACTGCACTTTCAAGAAGCTGCCCAGGTACACACATTTAAGCAATTTTCGCATCTATTCGACAAGCTGTATTTTTACATGTTTACATAATTATTTAAAACTATTAATAATATTTAATGATACATTTATTAATTTTGTGTACAGTGTCAAGAAACTCACAAAAAACCTGAAGACTACAGTGATAAAACACCTCTACCCTGGGACTGGAAGTGTGTGTTTTTAACTTCCAAAGTCCTTTGGCGTTGCTCATTAATTCTCTTGAGACTCTACTAATGTCTAATATAAATATAAATGTTTCGTCAAATTTTTCGACTTTTGCCGTCACCCAGTTGAGGTTGTTAATTATACAATCCGCAGCAGCTAGAGGACATTCTGCTACTAAAATGTCGTCTTTTGTCCACATCACCAGTGGCGAGTCAATTGGAACTGTATCCATGATATACTTTAGTTGGTATGGCTGGCCCTCTTTTGCTGGTTCACAAGCGTATATTACTGAAATATATATATATATATATATATATATATATATATATATATATATATATATATATATATATATATATATATATATATATATATTTATATTTATATATATATGTATATATATAGATATATATATATGCATATATATCTATATCTATATCTATATCTATATATCTATATATATATATATATATATATATATATATATATATATATATATATATAGGGCCTATATATATAATTTTAATATTCAATTTGATTTTATTTAATGAGAAGAAATATAAAAATGGTGTAACGACACATATCTTGAAGTTTAACAAAATATAATGTAACAATATGAATTTTAATAAGGGTAAATAATTCTTATGTTTTTATTAAAATAATGGTGTTGATCACTATATTAACTATTGAATACATTTACTAAAATTTAAGAAGCGACCCGCGCTTTTCTTAAGATATTTAAATAGGAGTTAATTTTTTATATATTTAAAGAAAGTAATTATCACCTTTTGAATGCATTATTATTTAAAAGCTTGCAATTAAAACTTTAAAACGTTTGATTTTTAAAATTATTTATTTATAAAATATATACATGTGTTAAACTAATTTGAAACCCTTACTAATAACCCGCATGTAGAGACAGATAAACTAAAGGAGATTTGATGCAATCGCTTTTGCACTAATATCCCTATCAGCACCGCTTATGGTCTGGTGACCCTCTGTGTATCGCCACGACAGCCCAGTCCAGCCGTTATTATAAGGATGTGCAACCGTTGTTTTATTTACTTTACACTGCTGTTAATACATATACCTATATCCAGAGGCGTAGCGATGGGGGCAGTTGGGCGCCAAAATGGGTTGGAAAAAGTAATCGAAAGTTTGAGGGGGGGGGGGATGAAAATCAAAAGTTTGAGGGGGGTTGCTAATGGAAAGTTTGTCCCCGGGAGCCGGGAAGGGTCGCTACGCCTCTGCCTATATCTGTACATAGCTAACAACTAAGATAGCAATTAGTCTACAGTTTCGTATGTCAGTAATATACCTCAGACGATGTATTAGAAAATATAAAATATAAATGACAAAACTAGCCTACAACCTTGAACGAAAAGAGCCAAAACATAACAAGCTGTAAACACGTTTGATGACTCCATGATTCTGTACATTCTGTTGAATCTGAAATAAACAATATGATTGCCGTATAATCAAAATTAAAATAGAGCACATCGCTGTGAATATATAGTTGTAAGACAAATACACGTTTACTTATTGTTGGAAAATAGTTTTACCCGTGCGTATTGAAACGATGCCAGTTTCTCGGAACTCATACTTTTATAAATTATATTTAGAATCGAATATACCTCACAAATAAAAGGTCTATTAAAAAATGTTAACAAACACGGCATACGTACCAGCTATTTGAAAGTGAAATAGAAATAGACAAGCTTGAAATAGGATACAACACAAACCAGCTCGGTCTTTCACGGAATTTCCGCTCTGAGATTTTTTCTAAAAAAGTGTTTACATAGAGCCCAAAAGTCTGGAATTCCCGATATTACCTAACTCGCGAGACGTTTTCGTTTTTTTTTTAAATCTACAGACTCTAGCTACTTTCTAAAAATGAACTTATTTTATTCAAATTATATAAAAAAAAAATTAGCGAGGCTTTCTATCTTTCCTCAAGCAATATTAAGTAAATGTAAAAAGAAAATACGTTGAGAAGATATGTTAGAAATATATATATTTTACGTGTGGGAAATATTTTAAATAATTTCAGTTTTTTTTAAAAATATATGTTTGTATTTGTTAAAAAAATTAATAAAACTTTCAGCAAAAGCTAACATTAATTAATTAATTCATTTAATATTATTATAGTTTAAAAATACTAGACACTTAATTTAGTCAAATTTATTTTGATTATAAAAAAAACTAGACACAGATTTCTATATAATTAGTACTGGTTTCTTTGTCAGACATGTTTATATATATATATATATATATATATATATATATATATATATATATATATATATATATATAAATATATATATATATATATATATATATATATATATATATATATATATATATATATATATATATATATATATATATATATCAGAATTATAGTTGTATGTAGCTGAAATCAAATTACCTACTTATGTTGTTAAAGTATACGCTATATAATTTAATTTAAAAAATCTAATATAATTCACTACAGATTTGTTGTGCAATATGTAGGCCTACATAAGAATTTATTATCTCTTGATATGGCGACTACTGCAACTCCATTCTTAAAGTAGTAATATGCAAGTAGCGGGTAAACACGTACTATTTATACCACCGTAGTCATGTATGTGCTACACACTAGGTCTTATGGCACATTTATAATGGATAGTGTGTTGACATTTCGTTTCTTTTATGGTTATATATTACTAGGCTTGATCGAGCGTACTGACTGGGCCGACTTAGAGATTATGTCGATGCAGCAGGAAAGGTTTAGTTAGACTTAAACCCCTCTGGTATTTTGTCGTATTTTTTCGTATGTAGTTAATAAAATCACTTACATTTTAAAGATATAACTGCAATTTAGTGTAGTTAAAAATAACTCGATAGAGCTAAAATTAAAAATTCACATTGCATTCCGTGTGTTGATATCGATTCTATTAAATACATGTTACAACAAGTACAAAATTTGATATACAGTAACACAAGCCACACAGCACGTAGGACCATACTTGACTAAAATATGGAGGTCACTCTTATCTGAGATGTGTGTTACCTGCGGTTTGTAATATGACAGTCCGATGTACGGAATAAAATGATACGTTTAAGAAAGTATCACTCTTTAACTCTGTGCCTTACTGAATAACTCAAGCATTTTTGTGGTGTGCTTTTACAAGTTGAGTTAACCCCCTTTGTAAATAGTTCAACGTTTGTTAAATGAAGTAATATAATGATAATTTTTCAGCAGAATATTTAGAAAAAAAAGTATATGATTTTTTTTATAGAATGAAATGTTATCTAATGAATGACATTATGTATATAATGACAATTAAATTAACAGTTAATAACTGTAAAGAAATTAAAAACTGAAAAAACGGCATTAACCTTATTCACTGTTTAGTAAAAGTCATTACGAATCTAATTATATTAAACTCTAATGTCTAAATATTAAGAAAACAATTATATCTGGTCCTAGTTGGAATAAATCTTATAAACTTAAATTAAGTTACACATATTTACTTAAATATATTTATTTGTTAAGAATTAGATATAAGAGAAATGTTAAGAATTAGATATAAGAGAAAAATTAATTATAAAAGCAAATTATAGTTTATTCCAAATAAAATGTTTCAAAAGTTTACAACAAGAACACATGGCAGTATACATAACTGTGATGATAGTATTAACAAGTAATAACACTGACAATAAACATCAGAGCTAGAAATTATAATAGTAATGTTAATTTTGATGATAGTAAAATCAATATAATAACACATGGAATAACGGTTATAATTAATTTAGTATTACGATTTAAAATCAAATAAGGAGGGCCTACACGTTTTGAAAAAGAAATTCATTAATATTCATTAATAAAAAGAAGTATACATGCTTTTTTTTAACTTTTACGTTACACTCAATGTACTGAAACAATAAAAAGTATACCAATATTTTGAAACAAATACAACTAGCTTTCACGTACTAAAATTGTTTTTTAAGTTGTTGTTTCGAGTATATCACCATCATTTGATGCTGTTCGTTCCGAAGATACACAGTAGTGATATACTTTTTAAAATTTAATATTTTTATCTTTCAATTTGGTCTACCAAATTTAAATGGCACTAAAGTTCTATGCTTTTAAAATATCTGGCGTTTAGTAATTACTAGTTCCGGTTACCAGAAACCGCTTAAACCTTGAAAAGGAAAAAAACATTTGATATTATGCTTACGTAAGAAATTCAAGGGCGGGATTACTATACCGCCAGACCCTGCAATGCAGGAGGAGGAGGGGGGGGGGGGGGGGCAGAAACCGAATAAAAAAACAAAGCACCTTGATAGACTAGAGGTTTTGTAAAATAAAATATATATATATATATATATATATATATATATATATATATATATATATATATATATATATATATATATATATATATATATATATATATCATACAACAGTGAACGTTTTACAGTAACTAATAACACTGTTGCATAAATAAAAAAAAACATGAGCTGTAGTGTCAAAGATGGGCAAACCTTCAAACCACTTCCATGACTTTTAGCTCCTCTTTAACAAGTTTAATATTTCCTTTTAATAGATTTGTACTAAGCAAATTTTAAAAAAAGAATCTCTTCTCTTAATTATTACACTTAAAAGGCATACTAAAGAATGACACCAATATATAAACGAAAGTATTCAAATTATTAATATATTTGCAAAAAAATTGTGAATAAAATTAACACGCGAAACCATAACAAATAACAAAACTATGAAGTTACTCTTTTCATAATTTTCGGCGAGTATAAATGAAATAAAGCCTGACGTGTTAGGACTAAATTATGTGAGTCCGAAACGATTTAAAGCACATTTTTGTGTGACCTCTTGTTTCACAATGGATGTAAACTGCCATGAAAGAGGTAAAATGATTAAATAAGGAAAGTATTTAAATAAGTAATCTATATATATATATATATATATATATATATATATATATATATATATATATATATATATATATATATATGGGGGGCGAAATATTTTTTTGCTCCTGGTAGGGAGGGGGGAGGGCATTTACGGGCATAATTACAAAAGTAAGTTTTTATGGTTCCTGAAGGTTGTAAGCATTAAAATTGTGTTACAATCAAGATTGAGATTGTTCGCACGATGAAGAATACAGCGTGTTATCATTCCTAAAGTAAGGGTATCAAAAGTGTCCTGTCACTTTAGGTTTATTATCTTACCCAGGGTATACCTGGATGTGACATTAATGTTGCTCTTCACAATTTCGGCCTCTTCAGTTCTGGTGGTAAGGAGGGCGGGGGGGGGGGGTGGAATAACAAACTCAGAGTGAACATAGCGTCAGTTTTTAGATGACTGTTCTAAACATAATGAATTATAAATGCATACTGATTCAGAAATACATTTAAATATGTTACAGTGGTATTATTACAATGACATTTTTAAAGAGACATCAATTGGGGGGGGGGGGGGATATAACCCCTTCTAACCCGTCTACGCCATTGGTCGAAAGGAGTTAAAGAATATTTTTGTGTGACTTGTTTCAAGAAGGATATAATTTGCCATGCAATTGATTAAAGCATTAAATTAGGAAATGGTTTAAATAATTTTTGTTCTAGTTTTGCCTCTGAAAATTTCGTCAACCTAAACAAAACAGAGGTCAGGTTTTCGTGTTTACAAACACACATACATACACATAGACGGACATGATTACAAAAGTAAGTTTTTAAGGCTCATGTAAGTTGTAAAAGTTAAAATATTGTCACAAACAAGATAAAGATTGTTCGCTCGATTATAATACAGCTTTTTAAATCCCCTAATAAATAAAGTAAGGGTATCAAAGGTGAAAACAGTTAACATTTCATTTACATTTTGTCCACGATTACAATACATCCTTTATGATCTGTCTACGAAAAAGTAAAAACGTTTGGGTATTGATTTTAAAACTAATATATCCTAATTTCATTACATTTTTATTTTAAAATATCTATTCGATTAATACTCTTCACAATATTTGTAAAAACAAACAAAAAATTGAAATTATCGTTTTGATTATTAAAAAAATATTACATTTAAAAAAATATTACTTTCGTAAAAATTACATTCATAAAATAATGAAAAAGAGAGTCCTCAACTATTTTCTTGTTCCAAGCACTAAAATAAATGTAACAAATAAAGATATTAGACAAATAAAAAAAGAAACCTTCCATTAGTTTGTTACTATTGAACATCAGTTTGAAAATATGTAACAACACTTTACTGTAAATGTACACGTTGTTTTTTTTCTCCAAAAAGAAAATTAGGTTAGCATAAGTAGTAATTTGTGAATAAAAACCTAAACAGTTTTTCATGCTTAACAAGTTTAGATGGTTGAGAATGGATGGTCTTACCGCAGGCTCCCATGATTATTTTATGTTTTACTTCCAGTGTCCAAGTTGCATTCGTAATAGAGAATGTGTGAGACTACAACGATGTCAACGACCAGGTTTCAATAAATGCATAAAAACTAATCTAGACATAATATCTATTTAAAATTATAATTAGAATTAATAAATTCTGATTATCTAAAAGCACAATATTTTTATTTCGTAGTTGTTTCCATAACGGAGAGCTTGTGTATTAAGTTGCTGTCAAAACAATCGTCTTTTGTTTGTATCATTGACTTTATGTAGAATATACGCAACCTTTGGAAACTTTTAACAACATGATATAAAATAATCTTTTTATTCCTTTCAATTGGTTCAGGAACGAAATAAACGTGACGGAAACATCCGATTAGGTAGTTGATGTCTTCACAAATGTCATCATTTGTCAATAGGACTTCCAGTTTATATTGCTTTTTAATTCTTCCGACTTCTGTTTTATAAACGCTTTCAGTTGTGGTTTCTTTATTATTGTTTACATTTTCTTTATATTTTCCCCAAAAAGTTTCTAGAAGATCCAATCTAATACCTATGTCAAATTGTGCTTTGCGACTCCCGTCTAAAACAATATTCATAAACAAAGATATATCTTTTAAAATTTCTTGATTGTCTTTGTATTGTTCCTCTCTGTGTGTGCTTATTTTCAAAAGATGTTTCGTGAAATTTTGTTCCATCGGATCTATGTTAGAGAAAAAATCGCATCCATTAGCATCTGCTTGATGGACATTTATTTTAACTATTCTCCTTCTGCAGATCTCTTCAATGTGTTTATAGCTTTTGTTTTGCTTTTCTTTATTTGATTCTTCATTGGTATCAACAAAAATAAAGCAGTTCATATCTATGCCAAATCTTTCATGCAATATTTCAATCATACTTATTACATGCTCTGATCTTTCTTTTGTAAAGACAATGATTATAGCATTGTAGCCTGTGTACGATAAAGCAAGACATGATTTTATATCTTCAATAAATTTGTGCGTGTTACCTTTATGAAAAATCGGCCCATCGACAATTTTTATAACACCATCGGTACGTTGATAAAAATGAATGTTACATTCCTGAACAAAATTAGAACTGCATTCATCGTCCCCTTTCATGTTATCACCTTCTTTTGAGTCAACTCCATCGTTTATGTTTTGTTGATTAAGTATTGCTGCTTTAAACAAATCCTTATGACTTTCCTTTGTTCCTACAAGTACCACTTCTCTCTTAATTGTACATCGTTTTTTTTCAGTTTCGATCCTGAAACACAGTGACACGTTTTATGTACTTGAGTTGGGTAATTGGTTTCATAACTTTTTTCAGTTGTAACATTATCGTACTTAAAAAGAATAATCTGAGTTTGGACATGTTAACCAATGAAGCGTGATATATTGGAAAATATAGTTACTAAAACAAGTAAATAATGCTGAAGAAAATGCAATCTAAGTAGTGTAAATATCAATTCTACTAATTTATTACTATAGATGGAAAAGAAAGTTTAAATCACAAAACTTA